TGTTTCCTGGTGCCCACCTTGCCACCTTTATTAATTGATGCGTAACAACAGAGTAATGTTTTCAATACACACATCACATCATGTTACTTCTCTGTTTAACACGAGTCAGTGTTTTCTATTACCCTTACAATACAGTCCTAAATCCTTTTTCTGGTCTAAAGAGTTGTGCTTTCTGGATCCTGCCTCTCAATTCAGCTGTACCTCATACCTTTTACCCACTGTTGTTTTTAGTTGCCAATGAGTTGACTCTAACTCACAGCAACCCATGAACGACAGATGGAAACCACATCCAATCTTGTGCCACTCCAACAACCTCCACTGTGCTTAAACACACTGTTGCAGTCACTGTTGTCAATTCATCTCCTTGAGGGTCTTCCTTTGCTTCTCTGACCCTCCACCTTTCCAAGCAGATGTTCTCTTTCGAGAAATGGCCCTTTCTAATAATAAGTCCAAAGTAGATGAGATGAAGTCTCACCATTCTTAGCCTCCACTCCTTACCCAATCTTGTTTTTAAGAAGCACCCTGGAAGCACTTCTTCCAAGATGGATTTGTTTATTCTTTTGGCAGTCCATGGTATATTCAATATTCTTGGCCAACAAAATGGGAAAAAAAATAAAATTTATTTGATCTTCCTTATTCATTGTCCAACTTTCACAAGCATGTAAAACCACTGAAAATATCATGACTTAACTTAGGCACACCTTGTTCTTTAAACGAGGGAATGATGGTGGTCTACTGGGTAAGGAGTTGTATTGCCAGCCCAAAGACAGGCAATCTCCTCCCATCTGATTTACAGCCTCTGAAAAACAGCCGGATGGACGGTCAGCTGTGAGTCAGTTCTGCCCTGATGGTAAGGAGTATGTGAGTAGTCTTTAAAGGTCTTAAACAAATGGTGTTAAACTGACAATCCAAGCTTGTTCCTTGCTTCTAAGGACCACTCTGGCTTCAATTCTTCGAGGCAAATGTTTGCTCTTCTAGCAGTTTCAGGGTATTATTCAATATTCTTCACCAACACTACAACTCAACTATAACTTATTCACTACAACTATTCCTTATTCATTGTCTGTTCAGCAGTCATATATAATTAAAAATACTATGGCTTGGGTCCGGCACTATCAATAGCCAGTAAGAAAGCACAAATCAAAACCACAATGAACTACCATTTCACACCCACGATGACGACTAGTAGAGAGTTCTGGTGGACAATCAGTCCCAAAGGCACATAGTTCAAATTTAGCAACTGCTCCACGGCAGGATGAGTAACCTCCTCCCATGTGATTCACTGCCTCTGAAAACCTGCTGGAGGGTCAGCTCTAAGTTGGTTCCAACTCTCTGGCACACAAGAGGATTAATAATGAGATCTGGTGGCTTAATGGTAAGGAATTTTGCTGCCAACACAGAGGTATATGGTTTGGATTAAGCAGCTGAATCTACCAGGAGAAAAATGGGCAATCAATTCCCATGTAATTTACTGCCTCTGAAAAAAACATGCTGGAGGGTCAGTTATATGTTGCTTCTGACTCAAAAGTACACAACAACAACTAGTAAGGAGCTCTGGTAATACAGTATTAAGTTGTGCTACTAATCAAAAGGCCATAGGTCTTCAGTGGTTGAAATCCACCAGCTGCTCCATGAGAGGAAGGTAGACTTCTTTCTTCAAGTGTTACAACCTCAGAAAACTACTGGAGGGTTGTTATGAGTCAGAATTGACTAGAAGCTCAAAGGCAGTGAGTTTGAAGATGACAACAGGAGCTCTGTCATGGTAATCTGTAGAGCTGTGCTGCTAGTTAAAAGGGGGTTCCAATCCACCCTGTGCTCTTCAGGAGAAAGATGAGACATCTCCTCCCATCTTTATAGCCTCTGAAAACCCCGCTGGAGGATCAGGTCTGAGCTGGTTCTGACAACAGCAGTGACTTTGATATTTTTTTAAAAAAAGATTTTAATTTCCTTTTAATTTGGTGTGCCATCAAACTGGAATGGACTGGCACAGGAAGAATTTGCCCATCCTTCTCCAGTGGAACATCTGGTGGATTTTAATCACGCACCTTCGGGACTGCAGTGCAGCTTCTTGCCACTAGGCCACCAGAGCTCCCTAACTTTAATCTTTTTAAAAATGGGATGTTAATGATAAAAAAAGAGGTGACAACAGGTATTAGTGGGGATGTGGAGAAACAGAAACTCTCTTATAGTGAGAACATAAAATACTGCAGCTGCTTTGGAAAGCAGTCTGGCAGTTCCTCAATCAAGCTTAGGTAATATGGTAATTGATAATTAGGTAAATAGGTAATATATTAGGTAATAATAATGACCCAGCAATCTGCTCCAAGGGTCTACTCAAGATAAATGAAAACATATGTCTATGTAAGGAACTGTACATGAACAACTACTGGATGGTCATAGTATTATTTATGAAAGTCCAAATCCGAAAACAGCTTGAATTTTCATCAACTGATTAAGAAAGGGACATCATGTTTAGAAAGGTGGTGGGTCACTGAAGGACAGGAAGACTTCTAATGAGATGAACTGATACAGTATCTGTGGCAATGGACTCAAATGTATTGAGGATGCTATGGATGGCACAGGTTAGGACTATCAGTCATACTCAACTTGATGGCATCTCGCAACATAAACAACACAAAGACAGACAAATTAGTGGTTATCCGTATCTGGTGGGAAAGGCGCTCTGGTAAAGCGTTTGGCTGCTAACCAAAAGGTCAGTGTCTGATTCTACCCATCAAACAGACTGCTCCTCTAAAAATTTACTGCTTTAGAAATCTGTAAGCCGCTCTACGGTGTCTTACAGAGTCACTGTGAGTTGGATATCAATTCAATGGCAGCACAGTTTTGGTGAGCACTAGGGGGTGTAGTGGGGTAGAGGAGGCTGTGTGGTGTTTCTTTTTGGTATAATGAAAACATTCTAAAGGTGACTGTGCTAACAGTTTCACAAGTCTGTAATATAATAGAAATTGGACTGTACACATAAAATAGGTAAATTATATGGCAAAATAAGCTGTTTAAAAAGTTAATGGAAAGTCATGTAGAATAACTGTTGAGCAGGAAAGCAAGGTCAAATGGTTATTTCTGAAAATTAGGGAGATCTGAATATGTTAAATAATTTAAATCAATCAGGAAAGATCTGAATGTGCACATCAATGATCTATATTAGTGAAAAAGGGAGAGCTTGGCAGAATAAAGGGCAAATGTGATTGCACTAGTGAAGCCTGCAGTCAGGGACCTTTCCAAATTATTGTGGAGCAATGATACCAGTTTAAGGACTAAGGAGCACCTGATTCAGGCCATATCTTTTACGTCATTTGCTATGCATCTGAGAGCTGGACAATGACTAAGATGACAGAAAAAATAATTGATGCCTTTGAACTGTGGTGTTGAAGAGAGAATACTGAATATTCCAGGACTGCCAAAAGAACAAGCAGGTATGTCTTGGAGAAGGTGCAGCCAAAATGCTCCTTGGAGGCAAGGAACATGCTTTGAGCATGTTGAAAGGAGAGGCTATTCCTTGGAGAGGGACATCATGTTTGGAAAGGTGGAGGGTCAGTAAAGAGAGGAAGCCCCTCAACCAGATGGAATGACACAGTGACTGCAGCAATGGATTTAAATGTGTCAGAGATTATGAGGATGGCACAGGATAGGACATCTATTGTTCATAGGGCTGCTATGGTCATACCTGACTCAGTGACATCTAACAACAAAAACAACCGTATGACAAAAGTTTGGAGGAGATGAATTGGAAGAAAAAAGAAAAATGGTAACATTTTTGAAAGAAAGATCTAGTCAAGGATCCTACCACTCAGTGAAGTAGAAGAAGCCTTCTGCTAAACCAAACCTACTGTCAAGTGGAATACAACCTACAGTGAATGACCTCTCAGGACAGGACAGAAGTGCCTACAGTTCCATGGCCATAAATCTTTATAGAAGCAGACTGCCACACCTTTCTTCTTGGGATTCTGGTGGTTTGAGCTGCTCATTTTTCACTAGCAGCTGGCTCTTAAACACTGCATGATGAGGGTGCTCATAAGAGACTCAAGGATATAATAAATTTCAGGAAAGTAATAAAAAATGGAAAAAACCCGCCGAGAACAGAAAAGGAAACAATAGGTAAAGAAAAAGCTTGTCAAGTGGAATTGGTCAGCCTGAGAATGGAAATCACAAATTTTAATACTGTCAACATTTTATGAATTTATGATATTTTATGATGCACTAATCAGCCCCAAGCTTGTGAGCTTGTATGGCAGATGCCTGGGCTGCTTGAGAGCCAAACGTAGCTGAGAGTATCAGTGAGGTGCTTGATCATAAGATTCCACTGAGTGAGAAGGTAGGAATGGCCAAGTAAGATGGGCATTTCAAAGGAAGAACTGAATTTAGGGAATGATTCAATACAGAAGAGGAAGGAAAAGGAAAATAATAAGATTCTTAAATACATTGCTTTGGAAGAGCTTGACAGATTCTTGGCCAAAATAGTTCTTGGAGAAGGAGATACATGATAGATATTAATTGCTCAAAAATGTTGTTTTAAATTTTAGATTGAAAGTTTCTTCAGAGACCATTACTAACAATAGGAATTTGACATTATATCAGGAAATACAAATGGTGATGCTCTTACAGAGATCCCTTCACACTAAAATTGGTTTAAATTTTCAGTTTCACTTCAGGTGATAGTGGGGAATATGATTTAGTTACAAAATGAATGACAGAAGTCAGTCTGAGATAAAACTTGTGCTCTGTAATCCACACAGAGATAATCAAGAGTTGGATGTAGAATGATATAATTATCTAAAGTATTCTAATGCAAGAAAATGTTATGCTTCAATATCCTCTCAATTTATTTAGCAATATAGATAATAGGACACATAAAATTTATGATGGCTTAGAATTTTAAACATTGGGAGCTTTGCTTGTTTTAAGGTTCTTTTTATGTTACAGAAATATGAAATATTGAAATCTGAATATGTCTCTTTTAAGGGGCTAGATATTTGCCTTACCTTTACTACCTTGTAGTCACACAAGTATTCCACCTCATAATTGTTTAGATTCCTTTTGGTGATTCCAATCGATTTACATGTGAGCTTTTCTTTTCTACATAATTCCTGAAGAGTATCAAGTGAAACTAGGCAAGGCACACACCAAGCTATAATAAGAAAATAGAATTCTTTACTAATGAAATAGCTCGTCAATGAAAAAAATAAATAACTTAAACCCGCCATATCCTCCCCCCTTCAACTGGCGATTTTATAGGACTGAAAATTCATATGGCAAGAAATCAATTGTGTTTTTACGAAAAAAACAGACCTCTATACTGCCAAGTTTAACTGAGGTCAAGACATTTTTACTAAGCCACTTGGACAAAATGTCTCATTTCTCTTTAAGTTTTCTTAAAATTACATGTAGATGCAAAGATCACAATTAATGTTTCTCACTTTTCAATATTTTGTGAATTAATTTAAACTCAGAACTCTAGGATTTCACACTTGTTCCACATATTCTATGTAGAATATAATTATCATCTAAGTCATATTATAAACTCTAGTGGCTTAGTGGTAAGGAACTGTGCTGCCAATGCAAAGGTAGGCACTTCAAATCCACCTGCTGTTTCACAGGCGATGAAGATGGACGATCAACTCCCATGTAATATACTGCCTCTGGAAACCTGCTAGAGGGTCAGGCATGGGTTGGTTCCAACTCTATGGTACATAACAACATTTTATTAAACTTAGATCTTAGTTTGTTTAGGGTAAGATTTATTATCCTTAGAACCATATCTGAAATATATTTGAAAACCCAATTTTCTACTTTATGAAACAGTAACTTTCTCCTTTCTCTTAATTGGGCAATAACAAAAATCTAATACAAATAAGGTTTTATAGGTACAAAATGCATACATATGTCCTACTTTTTTGCATTTTGGAATGATGAACAAAATTTTAGCACCTCCAATTGTCTTGCCCATGCCATATATAACCAAGAGCTACAAAAAAAATGAAAAGTGTATTTTTTCAATACTTATTCTGATACTGTTTGGCATATTTCTGTATTGTTTTTGAAACTGTGAGAAAACAGAGTATTCCACTTATATACCAAACTTCAAAATATCAGACATGCTTATGATCAACCAGAACTGATAGTGTGCAGATTTTATTCTAAAATATAGGTAAACTGTACATAGTTATGGCACATTTAAAATAAAAGTTACTTAAAACTAGCTTTAGAAATAAGCAATAGACTTGATGTTTTTGTCAAATGTTACAGTAAGCACAAGAGAGGACTCTCAATAGGGAACTCTCTTGGCTTATGAGGTCAGTAGTTGTGCTGACTAACCAGGTGTGTGCTTTCTGAATTTACCCACTTCACTGATGGAGAGAGATGGACAATCTCCTCCTGTGCGATTTATAACCTCTGAAAACATGTTATGAGATGGTCCTTGCTAGTTGGTACATAACAACAGAGAGGATGACAGTCCTTGGCTCTATCCTTCCTTGCTCTGTCACATAGCTACATGACTTTAGTGAGGCTGCCATCTCTTTGGGTTTCAGACTTACTGGGGAAATGTTGGAGTAAACTGAGGTTACCAAACAAAATCTATCAGAAAGCCCAAGTTTTCCTAGATGACTCTCCAGGGGAGCTCTGAGAAGCTTTTATGCTTTGAGGTAACCTCCAAGGAAGAATGGAACACAGGTGCATCGACTTCACTCCACACTTGGTTCCTCCTCTGGAATGCACACATTGTCAGAAACCCTTATGCATCATTTTCATCAAATTCCTGTAAACAATTCGGAACTCTCAATCAAGAAAGTGAAAGGTATTTCCCCCCCACCCCAAATCTGAAGAAGGCAGTTGCTTGCTTTTGATTGGGGGGGTGGGGGGATGGCTTAAATCCCTTTTATTTAAAATTGGCTGGATTTTTACTGTAAAGTTAATCACATTATTTTGATCCAGTGCTGCATTAGATTCTACCCAACATGTATTTTTTATCCGCTGTCCGTGCAATTTCTATCTAGCTGAAGGAACATGAAGATTGAAGACACAAATCTGCATGAACAAGTTATTTTTGAGAATAAAAAACAACCCAAAAAACCACACCCCAAAACCTAAAAACGAAATATAAAAACTGCAAGCATTCAGTACAAAGGCAAAATTCCCATACAGTGTAACAATGTGGGAAAAGACTTCATTCACAAGATTAACTATTTCATTACCACTAAAATAACTTTACTAAACTAGTTCACTCTTAAGCCTGCCGTTCATATCAGCAGAAAAACGCAGGGATAATGCGCTCCTCCCAGTCTATCTACGAGGAGTGCAGTGCCCGAAAACACTGTATTCTACAATGTGTTCAAAGTACCAGGCTTTCAAAGCGCGCGCGCGCGCTCGAACACAGGACACACAGACGCCCTTTCAATATCTAATTATCTGGCATCCACACATAAGCACACGTGTTCACGGTGGATAGGAAATTTACTGTAAAGCAGAGCCTACCTTCCCAAATGCCCAATTACTGGGTATTTTCCAATAAAGTTTAACCAAAAGCCAGGTGTCCGAACTGGGACTCTATTTCCTTCCTTATCATATATTACTTTACCCCAACTGCATTTTTCCTGCTATCAAGATCAAATTCACAACACAGGATACTTCTCCCGTCGGAGTTTAAAAGCCAAAACAGTACACAAACATCCCGCCCAAACCACCACAAAGAAGCCAAACCACAAGCCCGCACACAAGGACCTCAAAGCTGCCAGGAGATTAGTCCTGGACGCACCGCCCACGGGGAAGCCCCTGCCCGGTGTCCCAGCTCAGGGCGGCCCGGCAAAATGCCTTTACACCGCGAAAACCCGGGGAACGAGAGTCGGGGCGCACAGGACCCCCAACCGACGAGGGAGGCGATACTCCTAACCACGAAGTCTTCGGGGCCCACGAGGAGGTGCTGACCCTTGGAGCCGCGCAGCAGCTTGGAGGGTGCGCGCCCCTTTCCGGGGCCCAGCTGGCGAGGCGCAGGCCGGCTGAGGTGGGAAACGGGTGCAGAAAGCAGACTCGCTGGGAGAAAGCAGGCTGAGCCGGGAGAAGGGTGAGTGGGCAGATGAAAAAGCTAAGAGCCCAATTCACGCATTTTAGGGGGGTCAGGGTGTCAGCAGGATGAGAGGCGGCTCTCCTTCATCTCGTCCTCTAGGCTGGCCCGCACGTCTCGGCCCAGCTTCCCCGGCTGCTGGGAGAACAGGGATTGCGAACGGGTGCCGCGCTGCAGCCCTCACCTCCTCGAGACTCGGCCCCGGCCGCCGCCATCTTGTAGCGCTTTCATTCAAACTGGCGCGGTCTGACCGGATAGCTCGGTTGGGGCCGACGCCCCGCCCCTCGTCTGGTCCGGGCGGGATTCGGGAGCCAGGGCCGGGGGGTCTAGAACCCACGAAGCGTCCTGACGTCACCGGGGGCCGAGCCTGGGCGGTGGCGGCCAGCGCGCCTGCGCCACACATGGCTGAGGGCAAGGCGAGAGCAGCAGCTGTTCGGTTGAGCCGTCGGAGAGTGCTTCGGTTCCCGTGCGGGAGCATGCTAGTTGGTCTATCCCCAGTCTTCGCCTGCTTCGTTATGCCTTTACATTCTGGAGCAACCAGGCCATTCCACGGCTTCCTGTTGTTTTAAGTCGGCATTATGGGCATATCGTACAAATTCTGAAGTATACAATGGAAATAACGTGGGGAAAAGTAAATTTTCTCCCGGTTCCGGTTTCCTTAGCGACCTAAGTCAAGTAATCATTGTTTTCTCCCACGTTACTTCCCTGAGTCCCAGATTCTTAAAATAGGCTGCACTTTGGGGTCACGCGGAGTCCTCTTTTGATACTGATGTCTTTGTTCAACTCTTAGATTTTTAACTTTAGTTGCTTTGGCCATTGGCCTGGGAACTGGTATTAACCTCGTTGATTCTAATGTGCAGCAGAATTTGAAACTCCAATCTATCAGTGCTTTTCAAAATGTATAGGTATCTGATAGTGTATGTGTATATTATACGGATCTGATACGTATTTTTGTATTTTTCATGTGTATATGTTTTTATGTGCCATCGAGTCGCTTATGACTCACGGCGACCCATGTACAACAGCCCTGAAACTTGCTCTATCCTGTGCCAGCTTTACTGTCTCTGACACACCTACCCCCATTACTCCAGTGACTGAATTCAATCCTTCTCATTGAGGATCTTCCTCTCTTGCGCCACCCCTCCACCCATCCAAGTATGATGTCCCTCTCCAAGGACAGTCCCTCCTTGCAACATGCCCAAAGTATGTCAGATGAAGCTTCAGAATCCTTGCCTCCTGGAGGAGCCTGGCACCCTCTCTAGGATGAACCTGTTTGTTCTCCTGTCATTCAGCACTGTTTTGCATTACTACTGCTAAAAGGCATCAATTCTCTTTCTTTTTAAAAAAAGTTTATTAATTTTAATGAACATTTACAGAGATTTTGGATTTCCATTCATTCACTGTTGCATTTTTCTCCCTGCCCGCCCCCGCCCCCATCAATTCTCTTTCTATTATCCCAAGTCATTGTCCAGCTTTCTGACGCATAGCAAGTAATTGTGAAGACTATGGCCTGGATCAGGTGCACCTTTAGTCTCTTGATTTTTCTGGCTGCTGGTACCAAAAGTGATATACACAATGTGTATAACATCTGGGAAATCTTGAAATGCAGATTCTGATTTGGTAATTCTAGTATTGGTGTTTGGGTTTTTGTTTTGTTTATACACTCCCTAAAATACATGTCTGATGATGGTGGTCATAGGGTTAGAGAGAGAGGGGGTATACCATAGTAGTAGGAGACTTCAATACACCTCTCTCAAGAAAAGACAGAACTATAAGAAAGAAATTCAAGAAAGATGTTGAAGAGTTAAATTACACAATAAGCCAACTCGATCTCATAGATATATACAGGCTAATGCACCCCAAGAAAGCACAGAATACACTCTTCTCCAATGTGTATGGAACATTCTCCAGAATAGATCACATTTTAGGTCATAAGGCAAGCATCATTAAATAAAAACAGAAATAATACAAAGCATCTTCTCAGACCACAATGCTACAAAATTAGAAAATAACAAGAGGATAAAGGAGAAAAAGGCATACAGTGTAAGCTGAGCAACAACTTGTTTGAACATGAATGACACTAGAAGAAATTTTTTAAAAAATTAAAATTTTCCTGAAACAAATGACAATGAAAACACAACTTATCAAATCCTCTGGGAAACAGTCCAAGCAGTGATCAGGGGTCAATTTATAGCAATAATCAAACACAACAAAAGTCAAGAAAAAATAATTGACTAACAAAACATCTCCAGCAAATTAAAAAAGAATAGTAAAACCTGACACCCTCTAAAAAAACTAAAATGATAAAAATTAGGGCAGAAATAAATAAAGTAGAAAACAGAAAAACAATTGAAACCATCCATAAAACCAGGAGTTGTTTCTTTAAAAAAGTCAATAAACTCGACAAACCACTAGCAAAACTAACAAAGGAAAAGAAGAAAAAGACACAAATAATCCAAATAAGAGATGAAAGGGGCAATGTCACAAGAGAACCAACAAAATAAGAAAGTTAACAGTGAATTATTATGGAAAAACTATACTCAAACAAACATGAAAACTTAGAGGAAATGGACAAATACTTAGAACCTACCTAAAGTGACAAAGACCAAAACTGAACACCTGAACAAACCCATTACAAAAGAAGAAACTGAATGGGTAATAAAACAACTTGCAACCAAAATAAGCCCTAGACCAGATGGTTTTACAAGTGAGTTTCAAAGAACTGTCACCAATTCTACATAAAGTATTACAGAAAATAGGAAAAGATGGAATTCTCCCAGACTCGTTTTATGAAACAAACATATCGTTGGTACCAAAGTGAAGTAAAGACATCACCAAAATAGAAAAGTATAGTTCAATATCGCTCATGAACATAGGTGCAAAAACCCTGATTAAAATCCTGGCCAATAGAATCCAACAGTATATCAAACAAAATAATTCACTATGACCAAGAGGGATTCATAAGAGGTATTCAGGATGGATCAACATAACAAAAACAATCAGTGTAATTAATCACATTAAGAAAGCAAAGAAAAAGAACCACGTGATTCTATTAATTGATGCAGAAAAGGCCTTTAACTAAATCTAACATCCTTTCCAGATTAAAACATTCAACAAAGTAGGAATAGAGGGAATTTCCTAAACATAGTAAAAAGTATATACTCAAAGCCAAGAGTCAATATCATTCTCAGTGGAAAGAGAAAAAAGGCATTCCCTTTGAGAACAGGAACTAGGCAAGGATGCCCATTCTCACCTCTCCTTTTCAATATTGTATTGGAAGTCTTAGCTGTAACAATAAGACAAGAGAATAAGAGATATCCAAATTGGCAAGAGGAGATAAAATTATTTCTATATGCAGGTGATATGATAGTATACTTAGAAAACCTTAAAGACTCAGTGAGAAAACTACTGGATATAGTCAACCAATTTAGCAAAGTGGCAGGATACAAGATCAAAATATAAAAATCAATTGGATTTCTCTACAGTGACAAAGAGAATAAAGAACTGGAGCTAAGAAAAACAATATCCATCACAATAGCTAACCACAAGATTAAATACTTGAGAGTAAATCTAATTAGAAACACTGAAGACATATTCAAAGAAAATTACAGAACATTTTTTTTACAGTTTAAAAATTTTATTATTAATTTCAATGAAAATTTACAGAGACTTTGGGTTTCCATTCATTCATTGTTGCACTTTTTTCCCCTCCCAACCCTCCCCCCTAGTACACTACCCTCTTGGAAAAGTAAAAGAAAAATTCTTTCGTTGTTTTATAATCCCTCCCCCTAGGTCCACTCTAAGCCTTCGCTCTGGACTCCTGTCATGACAAAAATACCCAATAATGTTCCCTCTTAAAGAGTTCTGCAAAAGATCGTTACAAAGGATGAAAAAGAAGAAAAGACCAAGATGGATGTCAGATGAGACTCTAAATATTGCATTAAAGCGCCGAGAAGCCAAAGCTAAAGGAAGAAACCAAGAAATCAAAGAGCTAAAC